TTAAGACAAAATTAATTGGAAATTAATAGCAAAGGTTGACAGGAAAGCTGTCTGGATATAATCTGACTGTGGAAGGAGGCATCACTGAACAGGCAAGAACTGAACGCCAGGCAAAAAGCCACAAAAAGCCTCCAATGTCCAAAGCGACCCACGTAGCTTTTATGCTCCGTCTTGTGCATCAAAGTAAATAAATTAAACTAAGTGCAGAATTAAGCCAAATTATTTAAAAAAACCCGCCCAAAGTCTTGCAAAAAAATCCCACCCCAAATCAAATCTTGCAAAAAAACCCCACCCCAAATCTGGCAACTGCCCCCAAATCTGGCAAAAAAAAAACCAACCAAATCTTACAGCAATCCCCAGACCAGGTTTTAAAAATTCTAGCCTGTCATTCTGTAAGCTGTTGTTTGTGCTGGGTCATTTGGCCTCACTGAATTAAGGGGAGCGAAGAACAGCAAGGGATTTTCCACGGCGGCCAAACAGCCGTTGCTGCCTCCGTGGCGGCTGGACCCCCTCCCAGCTCTTTTTCTGAAATTCTGTCAACATCCAATTCAATTATTCAGTTTTTGCGCGCGAGGGACAGGGAAAGCTCTCCTGAGATACCGGAACGGCGGAGCGTCCCAAATAGATGCTCCATCATGTGCAACGCCGCGGAAAGCATCGCCGTCCAGAACGCTGCCCGCTTTCTCTGCGGATGGGGTTTGCGGCGTTGCGTTACGTTTTTAATTTCACAGAATTTACAACTCCTTGCCGTGGCTCCCACCAAGCCCGCACCTACGCACGGCACAGCAAAAAAGGGGTGGAATCTCCTGTTAATTTGAAATTTCACATTAAATCGATAACATTCATAGGAAGGTGAAAAAGTAAATATAGAAGACTCTGTGGAATGCTTACTCTATGCTTCCAATTTTAGCATCTCTTCTCAATTAAAAAGAAAAAGGGCAATGTCACTCTGGGACAAAGCAGGAACTTTGGGGCATGAACCTGCGCTCCAAAGCAAATTTTAGAAAAATACAGAAATACCCGATATCCTTCGTTACTTCACTGTCTCCAGTTCTAACCTGAAACGAATCTGACTGTGAGCGTCGAACCAAGAGAAAGAGTTGCTTCGGTGTAATGAATTTGACATCATTAATGTACAAAAATCTACCAAAATTAACAGCAGAAACCATAGAACGATAAAGAGAGGAACCGAGGACACGTTTCTAAGACCCGAAGACTTCGACCCACGTTTTAACATCCTCAAAACGATGTTTTCCACCAGCCAGACAACTGTGAGTGCATGACAACAGACACCTGTAAAGGTACCAAACCGTGTCATTTCTTACCCCAGCGACAGGTTATAGGGTAGCACTGACGATGTACGGTGACGTTTTAGCGAATGTCCCCGTTTAAAAATCATAACGTGAAAAAGCTTATTTTCGGTTCTTTGAAAATGCCAAGAACTCTAACTCTACCCGATTTGTGCTTCCTGACTTTTTCATTCTCAGCTGAGTTACTCAGTAAAGCAGAAGCTGGATTTAAGGCTACGGATGTGCAGCCGGGGATGAAACAACCTCGTGCTCCAAACCCAACCATTACGCATACTTACGACAAAACCTGCTAATGTCGTGACAAATGCACGTGAATGGCTTCAGGCTGCTTCCTCTACCTCCATCGCATGCTTCAAGGGAGCAATACACACCCTGCCAGAGGCACCGAGACATCCAGCTCTCGCGTCTTCCCCTCGATAGAAGTCTCTTGGTCAAAGCCATTTTTTAACCATCATCTCTTAACCAGCCATGACGACTCAACACCGACGGAGGCCAAACCAACCCATTCACCCTGCACGTAGATACCGACTGAAACATCAAAATCAACGTGCACCAGAACGGTCCTCAGAACAGCACAAGGAGCTCTGGGTTTCCCAGCTCTAGGAGAGCCGGGAGACAACAAGTCGCTTGGCTCATAAAATTCCCTGGGAAGCAGACGGACACTGGCGCAGTGATGGACAAGGTGTGTACCCATGCTGGGGTCGGTGTCACGGCTTTAAACGGAACTAGCTCGGCATTTCAGTCAATCAGGCGGGCACTGCAGCGGAAGGGCACCGAAGGAAGCCCCCGAGACGCAGGGCACAGCCGAGTGCCTCACCCGCAGGAAGGGTATTTCACCCCGAGCACGAGCCCTGCGCTTGCCGGGGGAGCTGGAGCTCACAAGCGAAGCTGTGATCCCCTAAGTTCTCCCATCACTCATGAGCCGGCCAATTCCAGGCCAAAAGGACACGTTTGTTATCTGCAGCTCCCTGCTTGCCCAGGTGACCTCTCCTCTCCGCTGATACCTCGTCATTTTTGCAGGCTGGTTCAAAAGGTGCCAGTTCTGGCTCAAGCTGCGGATTCCAAAACGTGCATCAACCACAGCACCCCACATCCTAGGGGTGACAAAGCTTCAGCTTCCATCCCATCTCCCGGGCTGTGGTGTTCTACCCACGGCCTGAAGATCTGGGTGCGACTTGTCTCTTTTCTACTGAAGTTGCCTTGGGAATTGAAAACAAGGGGTACAACAGCAGACTCCTGTACCCAGCTCCGCGTGTTGAGATCACCAAAAAACAAAAGATCTCCACAGCCTTAGCCTGCAGTCAGACAGGACAAGCGTTTGGAGTTTATTTAAAATCCTCCTGCAGGAACGTAATGCAGAAGTGGTCTTTTCCCTCCCTAATTCAAGTTTAGACGATGCAACACTGAGGAATGAGAGTATTTGACTCAGCCAACTACAGATGGCAGCGCTTCGTTTTTAACATTACGACATTAATTTACTGCTGCTTGTCCTGCTGCCTGCCCAGAGCCGAGTCAAGCCAGCTGACCTGGCCTTGAGGGGGCTGACAAAGCAGACACAGTCTCAAACTTAATGAATTTAACAAACGCACAGCAAAATTTACCTCTGTCATCACCATGTCAAAAAGTCTGCCTGCTAGAGATATTTAAGAGGGGTTTGGTTTTGGTTTTTTGGACAGGAGACTGGGTTGACATCCTAAAATGCATCCTGTATTACATGGGAAGGAGATAAAATTCCTCCCCCTCCTCTTTCCCGCTGCATCCCAATCAGCCTCCTCTACAGAAGCAACACATTTACCGAACGAAGCCCTACGGCGCCCCAGGCGCCTGCCGCGGGCCGCCAGCCTCTCCTGCGCCGCCGTTCGCTCCGGCTCCCCCAGACAATCGCACGCCCTCGTTTAGGAAACAAGAATAATTACAATAATTCTGCTGTGGAAGCTGACTGTAACCATCACAACTCGTTCTAAAAACGCGAGACCTAGATTCTTTTTCTTCCAGCTGCCTTTTGATGGCTGCTTTATTAAGGTTACCGTTTTACTTCTGTGCGGTCCAACTACCACAGAAACAAACCCGCTCGACTCACAGGACCGGGTCAGAGCTGGCTGCCAACACAAGCAGGGCAGGGATGCCAAGACATCTTTTTTATCACCCTCTTCCAGTTTGCTGGAAACCTGAAGTTATTAGGTGCTACTGGAGATTTGCGTTTGTTCTCTTCCAGGTTCCTGGAAAGCTGTTCTGACATCCAGCCCAAGAAGGCAGTGCTGAATAGCTTCAAACACAGACTCATCCTCTCTTTTATTATTCTTGCAATCCAACGGAGATGGAAGATGCGGTAAAAGGCGTTAATGGTCCTTCCACTCCATTTTGGCATCCGTGGCTATCTCCAGACAGCCTGCTGCCCAGGCAGCCAGCTCATTAAAATCAAGATGTACTAAATGCAAGCAGATGTGCAGCTATTACTGATGGTGTCTAAGCCCCAGAACACGTCACCGACTGACACAGGCCTGCATGCTCCACTAGAACCACCTTATTATGGACTTGGAACATGTTTACAGCTTTTTTGGATACTAGTTTTTTCTTTAAAACCCATGGAGCTATGCAACAGTATGAAGAATAGAAAACATATTTTTGGTAAGCCCTTTTATTCCCAGGCATCTTCAGATAATATCTTTAGCTACCCAGTATTCAGTGCTCTTTACACACACAAGGCAGCTCGAGTTCCTAGGTGTATTCCTTGACTGGTGGTAACCACAATTACCTGTAAAAAAGGATTATTTCATCATGTCTTCAACATGGATGCACACAGGAGAAATAACTGTTATCAGGCCATTGGACTTCAGCTCCTCCTCGTATCTCCTATTACCTTTCAAATTACTAGTGGTGAGAAGCCACGTGTATTTCTGTGTTTAAATAAAACACCCGAAGCGGAACATTCCAGTGCTCCTGTGGCATAACTGGATGCCTGAAGGCTCCCCCACAAGCTCCTAATATGCATCAACCAGGATGCGCAGCCAAATCGACAGGTAACCTCCACAGAAACAAAGCAGAACTTCAAGTCTTCCTTGGCATCCCATTTATTTTATTGCTTTCTACACTTCTGATGGTAAAGAGGAAGAAAATAAAAGCACTAACTCTTATTAACACACCACCAATTTCTCTTCTGCGTTGATTTCCAACCTTAAACAGCAGCCGTCATTAAAAAAAGGTACCAACACCATACTGTATTCACATGGAAAAGAATTTGCTGACAGTGGTAGAAGCATCTCAATAAAAAAGATAACTCAGGAAAGTTAGTCCTGTTTCCAGGGTGAAAGAGAAGAGTTGAAACAGGCCACACAACTACCCTACGTATTAATAACAGCAGGTGGATAGTAAGAGAAAATACATTAAAAAAATAAATAAAATAACTCTACCCCTAGCGAATAAGGATTTGTTGCAATTTTCCTTTGGCCTAAGAGATAGGGAAAAATCCAAATACAGAGTAGAAAGGGACCATCTGGTTTGATGCCTTCTTTGTCTCACCTTGTGCAACAGAAGCCCTAGACTTTCACCGCGGGAGGATGCTCATCGCCTGCGTGGCCTCTGTGTCACGTACAAGAGCTCTGTGTGGTGCCAGTTCCAGGGGACGCATAACCAACAGAGCACCATGGGACAACACGTAATCACTCCTACTCCTGCTTGAAAACTCTTCAAGGAGACATCTTTTGGTCCAGTAACCTCCAGAGAAAATTTAGATGTGACAGGACGAATACCACCTCCCTCCTGCCCCTCATTTCCGATCATCGCACAAGACCAGCAGCAGCATCTCCTCAAACAAAACACCCGTTTGAAGGTACAAGACAACCTGCCTTGACAGTTTCCTGCTAGGATGCCCTGTCATTCTAGCGATAGGACAAGAGGCAACGGCCTCAAGTTGCATCAGGGGAGGTTCAGATTGGATATTAAGAAAAATCTCTTTACTGAAGGAGTGGTCAGGCCTTGGACCAGGCTGCCCAGGGCAGTGGTGGAGTCCCCATCCCTGGAGGGGTTCAAAAACCGGCACTTCAGGACATGGTTTAGCAGGCATGGTGGTGTTGGGGTGACGGTTGGACTTGATCTTCGAGGTTTTTTCCAACCTTAATGATTCTACGATTCTATTCTACAATTCTATAGTTTGTTATGGTCAATAAAAAAAGGGATAAGAATCACCACATTTCCCATTTATGTAGCCTTTATTTCAAACATAAAGCCTTATTATAACGTTCTTTGATGGGCTGGACATCTGTTTAGCGCTCCTTATTCTTTTCTTGCAAAGGCATTTTTGTATTTGATCAAAAAGACGACAAAGAGATGATGTTAACAGATGGACTGAAGAAGTACAGCCTCAGCTTCATACACTCCCTGTTAGAAAGCTATCTTTTCCACCCGTTATGTGATTTCCTGAGTTCTTTTTGTCTTCTCAATACCATTTCAAAAAGTGTTCTCAACAGTGGTTCAGCGCAGGTGTAATGTCTCCCCATGTACCTATCACTCCAAGAACCCATTGCTGTTGTGGGTCACGTCTGGCTGTCCAGACTGCGGGTCCTTTCACACCATTGCCTCCCTCCTCTTCCGGCTATTTTTCTCCCAACATCATGAAGCCCTCCCCTCCCTTAACTACAGTTTCCCCTTTGGGGTGAATTTCAAGAGGTACCATCAGCGGAATGATGCTCAACTCCCAAGACAGCCGTTGCGCTGTTGTAAAAGTCTTTTAAATCACATCTGCTGCCCCGTTCTCTGTCACCTCCGGCACACAGTGCCATCTTCACGGCCCAAACACCCTGACAATAACCACGCTAGGAAGATTTGCCATCCTCCAGATTTGCCATCTTCCTTTGCACTCTTCTGCAGCCTGCACAGCCTCGTGAGGACGCACAAAACCTCGCGAGGTCTCCAGCTGACTGCCGCTCCTCCAAGCAACAAGGAGCGACGTGAAACGAAGCGCAGGGAATCTCACCCTTTCTGGGCTCTTGGAAAATGATCTCTAAAAGACTTCAATCATCAGCCTTGTTAATTCCCTGGAACAGCTGCCACGTTCTAGTAAGAAAGAAACCCTCTAAAATCAGCGTATCAAGACAGGGACTTTCCTGTTCCTCTCACAGTGATACTCTGCCATCTCCACAGGCTTTGAAACAGAGACACCAAGACTGCAGAAGGTAAAATTAACCTTAAATCAATGTTAACAGGTGATTTAAACAAGCAAAATAAACACTCTCTTTTGCAGAGTTACAAGTGGGCAGAACAGCCCCACCAAACACTTCGAACTGCTGCAGGAGCCTCGGGGAAACGACATCAAGCTGCAGATCAGAGCAAGAGGGGACTGAACAGACCCTGTGCCCTCACCATCACTTTCTAGAAATCTTCAATTCGTGTTTGACTTCTCTTGTGAGAACTAATGGGGTCTTAAGGAGATGTCGCTGTTACTCCGGCACGGGTTTATCCTGGTTAAACCATCACTATGCAGAAGGATTATTTACTCTCTGGTTTTCGTTCATTTGCCACAACTAAGAATTGACATAAAATTGCTTAAAAATTCACACAAATGCTTTCCCTGTGCAGTCAGTGACCCTACCAACTCTGAACCCAGCAGGTACCACAGCAGATGCGTTGGTGCAGTTCCTGCTTCGGCATGTCTTGCCTCACGAATAACTACAGAGCTACCACTGCTCCATACCAGCTTATTTTCCCTTCAACAGGCCAAAAAGGCAATGGTTTACTATCCAGATCCAGTTATCTTGTCTTTAAGGGATTACAAAGCAGCCTCTCACTGGTTTTGTTTTCACTATTTCTTTCTTTTTAAAATTAATTTGTTCTCCTCTGCTTTGGCTCAATTTCCAGTCTTCCAAAAAAATGAATCCATCAAAAATTATTAGTCAAAGAATCATCCAGCTGTAAGGAAGAGGTCTGGAAACCCCGACCAGGGCGGGACAGAATGGTAAAGTGGGATTTTGGATAGGCCTTCATTCGTTTTTGTGCCTGCCTCCAGCTCATCGCTCAGCCATGAAAGGAAACACTGAACGCAGACGCAAATGGACACCACAGTGTTTTTTTCCTGCTACTGAAATTAAGAAAGGATGAACGGGGCTACTTCCACTTGTCATTTTGCTGTAGTTTACTTTCACGACATTTCTGAAGACGGTATTTTCATGAGGCAGAGCGCCTCAAAGATGGCCAGTACAACAAGCAAGGGTCAGAACGAAACCCACCCAGCTGTCCCCTGCCCCAGCACAGGACTCGCTCTGCTTCCACTCAAACAAAGGCTCGCTACCACCAAGCCACCAGCCCAGCCACCGATCTGCCTGAGGAAGATTAATATTAAACATCAAACCCAAGAAAACTTCAGGAACATTTAAAACTTAAGTTGAACAACATATAGTTAAGGGTATGTGTATTGCTGTGTATTGCTGTTAACAAGCAGTTTGCAGTTTAAAAATATGTATTTTTATATGTATGTTGCAGCCCATACATCCCTCAAGATTATTCCAAAAGACAATTTAAAAAAAAAAATCTGGTTTAGTACTTAATGAAAAGAGATGGACATTTCTAGGAAGCATCTATCTGAAGCAATTTTAGTCTATGTCCTGCTCCAAATCTGAGTTCTGCAAAGGCTTTCAGACACATAGCAAAAGGTACGTTCCTCAAGGAGTGCCACTTACTCCACTCGTCTCATTCTGCATTTGCATGGGATTAGCCTTTGGCTCCATGTCTTGCCTTTTTTGGTTCTGCTTCAGTTGGTTTAAAGAAGGTTTTGTCTGTGCAGCTCCGACAGTTTTGCTCGTCCACTGGTCAACCAGCTTGTGAAGATCGTCTGTGAACGTCCCTTTCTTGTTGTTACTGTTGTTGGCCTGAACCTGCAGGGTTGATTGCGGGAGGGGCTCAGGACACGTTACCAGGCTGTTTGTTGAGGATCCTGGAAAATCACACACAAAGAAAGTTGACGATGGCGTCTCTGCTTCACCGCTTTGCCACTCACACAGTTCCTCATCTACTGCAACTCAAATGGCGGCTTTCTGCAATTTTAACCCTCCCCCCTCCTTTCTACAGAACACCTTTGCTTAAAGAAATGGTCCAGGTCCAATGGGTTCATATTTTCTACCACATTATGTTCCCTCAGACACTAGCTGTTGCGCCCACAGCTTCTCTCTGGGTGAAATCACCGACTCGGAGAGAAGAAACGAATGTGGTCCCAGCAACACCGACATCCTCAGGCTTACGGCGTCCCTCCAGAGAGGGCTACCACGAGAGAGTGGGAGGCAGGATGTACTCCTCGCTAAAACCACACGCATTTCCAAAAAATCAATTTACCATTTATTTTACTCGCATAAGTTTACTGTCCTCCTGGAAAAACGTCTTTGTCATATAGGTTACGAGTGGGGTTGGCTACTACGCCTCAAAGGCTCCGGGAACCCTCCAGCTCTCTCGATGACGTCAGGACCTTTACTCTGCCATCTGCGTATTTTGGGGGAAAAAGCCCCATTGGGGCTATGAGTGTAGAGACAGAGGAGAGAGGAGGACGTAGTGGATGCGTGAGTTTTTGAGACAAAGATAAAGATACAGAACTTTTGGTATAGATAAAAGCAGACAGGAAGAGCACTGACAGATCTAACTTCAGTTATTATTTTATTATATATTATTATTATATATTATGTTATGTTCAGTTATTTCTTAAAGAACTAGCAAAAAAACCCCTGTCCTTTTTAGGTGTTGGTAACTACAAATCTGACACAGCAAGATCAGTAGGGAACAGCAACCAAAGGTGCCTGAATTTGACCTAAGCAGAAAATAGAAAGTAACTTTTCAGTTAAGGTATTTGATATAGCTAAAGATTGGAAATAAAGACCATCTCTCCAAGCAAAACGTTCATAGAACTGTAGTAAAATTATTATATAAGCAAACATTAACATTCAGTCTTTTTTTTTTTTTCCCCTGTTAATCAGTTACCAGTCAAGGAAACAGAGTAAACTAATTAGTCCTACGGTTATGCAAAAATACCTTAATAACCTTTAAATGATCATGCATTCAACCTGCAACGTAACTTCTAAGTGAATACTGCTCATTTCCTTTTCCGTTTTTGCCTGGGGGAAAGGGGCCAGTGAGAAAAATAAGAATTTTGACAGGAAAGCTCCTCAATTAGTGTTTAATATTTCATGCAGCTCGACGGGAACGGGAGGGTTTAAGCTCTCAACTCCTCCAGCAGAGAAGTGCAGTCATCTAAAGGTGTGTATCTCGGAAAGACAGAGACGGCGCCCAGCCTCCTCGCCGCATGCGTGCACGGTCCCACAGACAGAGAACACCACCACGGTCTGGCAGCATGCGTGGTTCCCAAGACATCACAGCACATGCACTACTATGCGAGTATCACAACCTACACAGGCTTGTTTCATACCAGTAGAAGTGCATCAGCTCTAGTTATTAAACAACTAGCTTTTAGTAAAAAAAA